TGTTTAAAACTAAAAAAAGCAGTAATTTGTTTTAATTATATATATATATTTTTTTCTTTGTTATTAACAAATAAAAGCAAGAAAAAAAAATTTATTACTTTTGTAGGTATCTAATTTATTATATCAGTTTAATTGAATAAACACTTACTGTTTTATTGTGGTAAAAAAAAAACTGCACCAAAATCAGTGTAAAATAATAATAATAATTAAAATTTTCATATTTGACAATGGTAATTCTGATTAAAACTCAAAAAAAAAAAAAAAAAGTGTTTACAATAAATTTTTTTAGCTTTTTTTGCACAAAAATTAAACAAGTGATTTGTTTGTTTGAAAAAATAAAACTATTTTTGCACTGTTTTTTAGGTTATCTTATCAGTACATTGGATACATAGTAATCTCCACAATTCTGTTCACAGTTTCAGCAGTTTAATTAACACATCTTTAGTTGCTTACTTGAAAAAAAAAACAGTTTCAACTTAACAGTTCTGCTAATTATACACCTTTTTTTTTTGTTGTTGTTATTGTTTTATATTGGTTACTTTGTTTCTGGAATCTACTTCAATGTGTTTGTTTTATATTACTGTTCAACAAATTATACGTTTTATTCAATCGACCATTACTGTACCATTCAGTTATCACCAAATACAGTAATAGAACTAAAAACACAAATTCAGCAACAACACAGTACAATGGCATCAAAGCTAAAAATTTTGTAGAATCCAAGAAAAAAAAAAACAGATTTTTCTTAACTGTTCAATTTGATGATAAAACAATATCTCAACCCTCCGCCTCCACATTAATCACGACCTCTTTTCTGTTCAGTTTAAAGGTGTGAGAAAACAAAAAAGACAAAAGAAACCATTGCCCATAAAACACAGGATAACAAATATTCAAATAAACTCTGAAACATATTCATCATTCAGTGTTCAAACATACTGAAAAATATGGTAAACTAAAACAGCAACAAAAGAAAAAAAAAAAAAAGACAGAACCCATTAACACTAAGCATTACACAGTTGAAAGAATACAACAGTCAATGATGTAACGATAGAATAAAGAAACCTTTTAAAAGTAGGTAATTGACGTGTTGAATTTACAATGTCTCTATTTACTTTTTCTGCCAAGTAATTAATTTTTTTAATGGTGATAAGTTTTTTTTTTTGAATTTAAAAAAAAGAGGCTAATTTCTTTTTATGTTACTTATGAACAGTAACAGTGTATACGCCACAACCTATAATATTTGCATTTACAAACGGTTAGATAACTGAACTAAACATCTGTACAAAAAAAATTTGCTCTTATATATTGACGTAAATCAGTGATAGAGCACAAATTTTTAACAGTATTAATGTTGGGTACTTAGAATAGAAAATTTTTTTTTTTCGGATACAGAAGTGCTGTTCTTAAGAATGCAACAATAAAACAGTTTACCTTACCATTCTGTAAATGCAACTAAGATCAGAAGTTAAAAAACTATTTGTAAATGATAAAGTTAAAGACAAAAAAAAAATTTGCTTTTTCTTGAAGCTTTTTTAATAGTTTTTTCAATCTCTTTTTTTTTTTACAACAGATAAATATCATTCCATAAAAGTACGCCACTTTGCACGTTCTATCGTTC